ATAGGGTTTCCAGAGGCAAGCTATTATGGAAGTGGATGCCACTCCTGCTTCCAAGCTTGTTTTAATGGGGGAGCTTCACCAAACACTGTCCACCATGGGTAACCATTCTCGCATTTGACTCATCATTGTCACAGTGTTCGTCTTCACAGCAACCATAAGTTACTTCTGCACAGCAAGTGGACAGATCAGGGTTAATTACATGACCTAGAAGAATGTTTCACCAAAAACAATTAAAGGCTGGCCCAAGGGCCACAGGCCCTTGGACCCAATAGGATTTTAAGCTAGGGCCTGGAGCAGGTTCCATAGGCTCAACCCCACCTTTACTTACCCTTACTCTAAGGATCAGGGCCTCCCATCCACCTTTGAAGACCAAAAGGACAGTAATACACAACACAAAAGGCCCCAGAAACTTCCCTTGCCTGACTGCCACCAAGGAGTCACCATGGTGACACCAGCCATTCCACTCGTTTAGCCAGCTGACTTATAAAGTTGGAAGGGACATAAAATAGAAAATAAAAAAGGAGTTAAAGGAGAAATGTTTAGTAAATTGATAGTATTGTCATAATCCTTCTAAATGATACCACATATTTTGTATAGTAGGCAGATGTCCTTGGCTCTAACTTTGGAAAACTCCAGGCCTATTTTCTTTCTTCCAGGAGCTCCAGGGATCATTGGCTCTGTGTGGTATGCTGTTGATGTTTATGTGGAACGTTCGTCTCTTGTTTTACACAATATATTTCTTGGCATCCAATATAAATTCGGTTGGTCCTGCTGGCTTGGAATGGCTGGATCTCTGGGATGTTTTTTGGCCGGAACCATTCTAACATGCTGCTTATACATCTTCAAAGGTAAGAACAAAACAAAACACTTCTCAACCCAATGAAATTACATCTCACCATTTTGGGCACTTATTTAATTCTTAGTTAATGTCATTAAAAGGGAACTCTGGTGGCTCAGTGATAAGGAATTATGCGGCTCAGTGATAAGGAATTATGCTGCCAACACAAAAGCACATGGTTTTAATCCACCAGCTTCTCCACAAGAGAAAAGCAGGCATTCTCCTCTGGTGCAATTTACTGCCTCTGACAAGCTGCTGAAGGGTCAGCAATAGGTCGTTTTTTGACTCAATGGTACGCAACAACAGTAACAATCCCATTAAAAAGTGCAGTTCAAGAAGAACTATTTTAAAACCCCAGAGCCTCATTACTCAGCCAGTGATATATTTGTTGAAAAAAGAAATTCTAAAGCTATATCTCTTTCTGATATTCAAATACATAGTGATTCTTTAGATGCAATATAATTTTATATCTCTAATGTCATCCAAATTATTAAACTTATATTTGTAATTATGCAAAATGTGGGTAGAGAATGCAGGCAAATATGTGTGAATAATGAGTTTGTTAATGCTGTTTGGATATACTAAAACCATCATTTAAAAAAAAAACCAAGTTAACCCCTTTCTTCATTAGAGAAATGTTTAAATTTTTGGCTAAATTTATAGGATGAAAATCTTGGAATTTTTTTTTAGATGATTACTTCTTCAAAACTCAAATTCATTTTTGTTGAGTCAGAATCAACTCATAGCTCACCTTCCAGTGGGTTTTTAGAGCAAATTAGGAGTGTTCATTTAGGTCCATGATGTTGCTCATTGAGTTCACAGTTGAGAACTTAACCACTGCACTGGTAGAGCTGTTTCTTACTTCTTATTGTTGTTGTGTATCGTGGAGTCGGAACTGACCCATAGCTGACCCTCTGATGGGTTTTTTAAGGCAGTTAATGGCATGAGAGGAGATTGTCCATCTTTCTCTCTCAGAGCAGCTGGTGGATTCGAAAGAACCATGTGTCTATGGGGTTACAGCACAGCTACTTAACACTAGACCACATAGCTCCATTAGCAGTGCTTATTTTTAATCTCTCTTCTTTAATCTCTTCCCAACAGATATTGGACCTGAGAGGAGTTACCCTTACTCCATGAGGAAGGCTTATTCAACTGCAAATGTTTCCATGGCCAAGTCATACATAGCCCCTCGGTCAGAGACTGCCAAAATGTACGCAGTGGACACAAGGGTGTAAAGTATCACCTGCCAGTCTATGTTTATATATTATTTAATTAGTCAATCGATATATTGACGTTAATAAGGTGACAATTGTGGAGCAACGGTTGTTAGGCTTTATTTTCAGTTGAATTAATTACTCATTTAATAAAATTTTAAAACATCAGTTTATGTATTACTTCTCCTCCCTCTTTTTCTCTTATTTTTCCCTCATCATCTTTCTCTTCAGACTCTGTCTTTCCCTCTGTTATGCACGCACGCAAACATGCAGGCATATGCACACGCAAAGAGACTATTTAAGAGAATATTGCTAAGACATGAATGAGTGAGATTTGTATATTACTATTAGAAGTTGTGGTCTGGTAATCGTAAAAAAACACTTTAATAGTAGAAAACAATAGAAATATGCCTATGTGTATATATGGTCAAAATATAAGACTATAGAAACAATAGTTAACCTGGGAGTTCACTCATTTGTTGGTTGAACTTGTAAATATGTTTCATGAATGTCTGATAATAGAATTGACCATTCTACGTGATCACCACTCCCCATTATTAGAACCTAGCAAAATAAATGATGCTTGATGTAAGTTAATGAATATTTGTCAAAGTAAAAAAAATAAATGTTCACAACTTTAAATTGAAAAATTTTTCTTTATAAATTATGTATTTTTTTAAAAAATGAATTCTATACACATAGAAGTCAGTGAATAATTGCAAATGGAACGTCATTCATATTCATAATGCAATCACTTTAGATTTTTTAAATGGCAATTTTTTTCTAAAAATGGTAAAATTAACCTCACGTTTTCCTCAGTTCTTTTGAGAACTGGAAATGAAGTTAGGAATTTCTTAAGAGCTCAAAATAAGTGTTTTAATATAAAAATTTCAAAATCCAATAATAATGTACACTACTACTAAAAATAATGAGACGATGAAGTCCTACTGCATCTATTAACATCCTTATGGAACTGAGAAGTTGTTCATGAGTCAAGAAAGAACCTATACTCTTTATTAATATTCTCAGGTGCAATTTCAAGCCTATCTTTGTAGCAAGAGCAATGCATTTATTTCATTTAATTATTTTTTAAAGTCAGATGAATTTTATTATATTTAAGTTACAGTTTCATATAGCAGGTTTTTGGTTTTATGGGGGTTTTACATTATATTGCTTTACTTACAAAGTTTGTATTGTTTTTCACACCAGATCTTTCTCATTCTCTTCACCTCCCTCCTCTACTGATCAAATTATGTAACACTATGATTACCTTCCCCCCCATCCTCACTCCTTTGCTTCCCTACCCCAGGTTCCCCAAGGCATATTCATTCTAATAATGGTTTTGCACAGTATTTGTCCTTATGTGACAGAGTTAGTTCATTTAGCATAATGCTTTCCAGTCCCTTCCAAATTAGGTAGTAATTTACAAAATCACTGGCCTGTGTGATGTGTAGTATTCCATCGTGTGAATATACCATAATTTCTCAGTCCATTAGATTGTGTTTAGACATTTGGACCCAGCTATCTATGGTCAACTGATATTTGACAAGGAAATAAAACCTATCAAATGGGAAATGACAACCTCTTCAACAAATGGTGTTCTCAAAACCAGATTGCTACCTGTGGAAAGTGAAAACAGGATCCACATCTCACACCATACATAAAAATCAACCCAAGGTTGATCACAGACCTGGGAGTAAAGCCCAAAACCAAGAAGCTCATCAGAGACAAAATGGAATCAAGTTTAGACCACCTAGTTTATGGTAGAAAGAGTAAAAAAATTAATGAATGGGACCTTTTAGTAATTAAATCCCATCAAAAATATTTTCCAACAGAGTGAAAAGAAAACCTACCAATGGGGAAAATAATTTGGCAATACCATTTCAGACAAGGGTCTCATATCAAACGTTTACAGAATCCTATAAGGCCTCCACAAGAAAAAGACTAATAACACAATTACAAAGTGGGCAAAAGAAATGGAAAGACTTTTCACAGTGGTAGATATTCAGATGACCAACAGACACATAAGAAATGCTTAAAATCATGGCAATAAGAGAGATGCAAATAAAAACCACAGTGAGATGCCATCTCACTCCAGTAGTTGTGGCAAAGTTTAACAGGACAGCAAGTAATAAATGTTGGAGAGGATATGGAGAGATAGGAACTCTTATACTTGTTGGTGGAACTGTAAAATATTACAGCCACTCTTGAAAGGCAGTTTGGCGCTTCCTCAGAAAAGCTGAACATAGAAATTCCATAAGACCCAA